TTACTTGTGTCCAATAGAGATCGATCATGCTCCATTTACAATCTACACTTGCTTTGTTACTTTCTAACTGATCAATCTTTGCTTTCCATTCAACTTCGGCTTTACGACAGTTTTGCACACATTCTGAGAGTTTCTTGTTTTGAATAAGTAAAAGTTTAGCGTCGAGTTCTTCCTAAAAAGATAACCGAAAAGCATTTTCGCTTCAATACAAACAGCGACGTTGTTTACCGCTGATTGAACATCGAATAATTTGAAGGCTTCGAAAACAACAACACGTTTCACATTTGCTTGGTTCTCAATATCTGCTCCTTCATCGAGACCAGCATCAGATGACGTCCGTTTCTTGGCTGTCGATGAATTCAGTTTAGTTGAACTTGCTGCAGCACCAGAATCACTCATATTTACAGGAATATATTTTGTCTACAAAGAAATATCCATTCTAGATCGCGTAGAAATGAGCATTTATTTACTTTTGACAATAGAGCAATAAAAATTCGACTAGATTAGAGAATGTACATTGACTAATCAACGAGTTTTCTGTCTTTCTTGTTCGTCTTTCTTTTTTACTTTGGAATAATTATTGAATGAATAAGACACACACACACACACAATATAAATAAACATATTGCACGCGCGACATCTACACCAATTTGATTGGTGTTGATGCAAAATATCCAACTAAATATTATTTTGCAATCATTTCCGTGAGTGAGGTGGAGAATGGCAAGACATACACCAGAAAAACGAAAAGTAAGATGAAGAAGATTTCATTATATCATGAATTCTTTCGCAATTTATTAGAATTTTCTGTCATTGGATGGTTATACTGCAATCTTAGATGCTTGTGAGAATGCTGCCGATGTTTTTTCGAAGCTCGTACCGCTAGTTGGAGAGGATTTAAATGACGATATATGGAAACAAGAATTGATGAGATCGAAGCAGCTAGATAGTGCGAAGGATATATTTGATTTTTGGGATGAAATTTGGAAAAGCAACAGCCCTTTGAGTATGAACGATGCAAAAAGATACATTCAGATATTTTCACTTTTGGAAAATGTCTTCCGAAACGTTATACTCTGGCCGTACATTCCAGCGTATCGTGTCATTGATACATATTCTAGTTTGTATCAATGTTTCGTGAACGAATCTGACAAAAAATGGTTTGCAAAACTACAATTTAAAAAACATGCTAATTTTCTTGTTTACGAGAATTCAGACATGTCACAAACGATTATTTATGCTATCACATGTAATATTTTCTGGCATGTGTTAAAGATGAAATTTACTTGAATAGTTTCCAACTGCTTCAGAAAACTTCTGCTGATTTTGATTTTTTTTAAATATTTTTATATTTTTACTCTAGATAGATATCGCACAATGTCCTCTCGGGCAGTACGTAAAACTCTAGGTCATACAACGCAAGATGATCTTGCTCAAGTCTTGCAAAAGGTTGGAATTGATAAAAATCATGAAGACGAAGAAGACGATTTTATCGTCACATCCAGTAATGATCGTCGTCGAAACGTATTCGAAATGCTCGCTGATGAAGACGAAGAAAAACCGACGAAAGAAAGCGCAGAGGAAGAAGACGAGCAAGAACAAGTACAACAATCGACTGTATCGAAGTCGAAACGAAAACGGAAAGGCAAAAAGAAGAATACAGAAGTGCCGAAGAATGAAGAAGTAAATACGAAGACGAAATTGAATTTCTTTTTCTCAACTAACCTTTTAGGTCGATGATGATTTTCTCATGGTCTCAAATGAACTTCAAGCAGCACCAGCATCGAAAGAAACAACGTCTGATTTATTCTCGACAGATACACGTCTTTTGAATCCCTTGAACGAAATGAAA